ATCTAACAGGTCAGACCTTTTCCACTGAGGAAGTGTTAAAGTTATCACACACACACACACACACACACACACACATAGACTTACAAGCTTAATAGCACTAGCTCTGCACACGAACCAGCGAACACGTCGCCCTCCTCCCGCAGATGATGAATCCCCTTTTATGCCGAACACTAACAAATGTGTCACCTTGATTTGTGCTGTAATAACAGTTTTCCCCCGGGCCACTCAGTTTCATTTTGACATCCTGGAATGGAGCCGTGCATAATTTCTCTAAAAGTCAACAAAATTTAACAAGTAAACAAACGCTGCAGCAGCTCCTTTGGACCAAACAGGAGCAGTGACATGCAATGCTCCCTGAAATTGAATCAAATTTGCCTGAGAGCGGTGTCTATATAGAGTATGTAACAGATGGATAGAGTTGATCCAGGGTTCTGCTTGTTTTGTTGTTCAAAAAAAAAAGAGAGAACAAACTGTATCTAATATCCCTGACTGATGTAGCAGTTTTCCATTTCTGTGCTGTTTTTCATGCAATTCCACTCTTTCTATATGTGTGTGTGTGTGTGTGTGTGTGTGTGTTTGTATGCTGTATGTAATATAGGTATGTTGATACGTCGGGTGGTGAACATTTCTTTGGGCATTCTGATTGGCTGCCTGAGCGTTCCCGTGGTGATGAACCTGCTGAGTTCCAGGCAGGTGATGAACACCTCCTTCGACCCTCTGCGCATCGTCAACACCTACGGGGCCTTTGGCAGGTACAGTACGGTCGGGGGTCGCTGGGGTCATGAGGTTGGACATCCTTAAAACATCTCAGAAACTGTTCAATAATGCCTAAATTTGAGGCTACACTAGCTGTGAGAACATACCCTCCCAAACTGATGTACATTTAAGTGAAAGGGGACTAAATTCATCATTCTGAGCCAGAGTCTGCGCAGTAATCATCAGGGTTGCCGTGGTATCGAGGTCCTGCCCATATCCCTGGCTGACTCAATCACGTGCAAGGCTCAGCTGTCTCAACGTATTAAAACTGACCAGAAAAATGAACCCTTACCCATACATCTGCATTATAAGACCCAGGCTACCTAAAATGACAGAAGCCATATTTGGGAAATATTAGTTTGACATATGTTTAGATTTTTGGCCCGCATCCCATCTGCTAACATATGTCTGACATAGATGCTTGTCTTTGTTGTATTATTCTTCATTTTGCTGCAAATGTGGCCACGCTTTATATACGTCTGCAGCCTTGCATCTGTATTCGCCAACTCTTCTGCCTTCCTTCCCTCAGCTTATGAAGCATTTGGTCTTGTCTCACAAACCCCTCTGTCCAGCATTACCAAGGAGCGTACCGAGGTGATTTTCCAGGGCACTCTAAGCCAGGATCCCAAGGCCCCTGAGGCTGTTTGGGAGGAGTACCAGTTCCTGTGTAAGCCAGGGGACGTTTACCGGCGGCCGTGCTTCATATCGCCGTACCACTACCGGCTGGACTGGCTCATGTGGTTTGCTGCCTTCCAGGTGAGACAGCAGGACACGATGTATGGAGTAGAGTACACTACCAGCGTAGAGACATTTTTACTTGCCTTCAGGATGAATGTATTCTTCTGTGTGGATACGGGATGTGGCAGATATTGGTGCCAAAACTGATTTTGTGTTGTTAATCAGTCTGTTTAGGTGTAAGATTTTCATCTTTTCATTTCAGATAATATGAAGTTCAGGTTACAGCACAAATAGAGAGTGGTGTAATAATTCACTGTCAGCAGAAATAACTGTTCAGTACTGCATGTGATGTAAAGTATTCATTGATGTGTCTATCCACTAGAGGGCAGTAGTTTCACATGCTTACCTTGATTAGATGACTTTTGGTCTGTCTCTCTGTTGGCTATGTTAATCTTTTATCCTCTGTACATCTGTGTTTATCTGTTTATTGTCATCAGATCTTTCTCCCCATCTCTTTTTGGTGTTTACTTGCCCTTCTTTTCTTATGGCCTGCACACCTGCCCCTTTTTATGCCACACACACTCTTCTGCCTTGTCTCTCTGCCTAAAGTCATTATTATTCTGCCCCCATGCTTCACATTCTTCCTCCGTCTCTGTCTGCCTCTCCACATTTACGTCTCCGTCACACCCTGTTGTGTTTGTCTCCCTTTGTTTCTCTCATTTTCTATCAGTTTCTCACACTCTGTCTGCTTGTTTTCACACAGACTTACGAGCAGAGCGAGTGGGTGATCCACATAGCAGGACGTCTGCTGTCCAATGACAGCACGGTCCTCTCCCTGCTCGACCACAACCCCTTCCGAGGCAAAGGAAATCCACGGTAAACACAGGGCACGCAGTCACAGTAAAGATCTAATCCGTGCATCTTGCTAACACTGTAGTATTATCTTTGATGAGCATAAAACACTTACTGTCTCAAAACCTCACCAAAACGCTCCTATGTTTAATTTAAAAACCCTTTCTACTTTTTGTATTCAGCTGGTATTTCCTGAAATAGCACATCTTCGTCCTGTTATTGATAAATCTCTGGTTACAGAAATATATAATTTCACGTATGCTGGCATGGATCAATAAAATGACAATCCCATGAATAATTATTCTCTGTGCTATAGCCCCCTCTGGTGAAGCAATAAGCATACTTTTTGCTAAAATATTAAAAACTGAAATATGTAGAGGCTGTGCACTGTCTCACAATGCATCTCTTAGGACAATAAACACCTCTAATTAAAGATAATATTAATAATAGTATAATAATTTCACATGATGATTTGAGTGATCTGGATCTCAGCTGCCTGCATCAGTGGAGGAATGTTGACTGCTAGTGCACATCATTTACTGAAAGATATACATATATAGAAGGATATACAATATTATCGCATATTGTTTTATGTCCTAAAAAGTTATAAAATGTGTGTGAAATGTTGTTCATAACTATTAAATAGGCTTAAAAATGATCTTGCCCATTCAAATTAATGCAGAAACGATGAACATCATGCTTTCAGCATTTAGTATGACATAATTATTTATTATTTTATATACTTTCACTCAGCGCTCTGACTGACTTCCAGCTTCCCTGGTGAAATGCATCACCTTTGGCTTTTGGAGACAAGATTCTGAGCTTTAAAATGTCTTTGATTCACGCAACTACACCCCTTTTCCGTGTCCTCCTCAGGTGGATTCGAGGGGAGCACTTTATATACAAGTTCAGCCAGCCTGGCAGCACCAGCGCAGCGCAGGGGAAATGGTGGCTGAGAAAACGCATCGGAGCATACTTCCCTCCCGTGGACCTGGCCGGACTCAGAGGCTACTTCCAGTCGAGGAACTGGCCCCACCCACACATTCCACCTAACAGGAAGTAAGGCCATGAGCTCCTGACCCTAGCGTAGGTTAGATCAGAGGACTGCTGCTGCTGGAGATGAGGACAAATGGCAAAGGATTCCATCTGTTTTTTGTAAGGTTTCATGAAGAACTGATCGATAAGACCTGAAATCAAACATCCTGACATATCATATACGTTTCATTCAGGGGGTGTATCTGTGTATCACAAATAATTACTGCCCTCCGTATCTCATAAAACAACCTCAGTATCGAATGTGACTCTTGACTCTTGCTGGTTTTTCTTTCTATTCTTTTTCCTCTCATTTTTTGGCAGACAGAGTATTTTGGACAGGCTGATTTTCCACTTGTCTAGCCTTATCCTTCATCAATATATATAGACCCAAAATATTTCTGAAAGGATATTGTAATTAAATAAATATTTGTCTTAAAGTTCATCTTATATAAAAGATTGACATGTAGGTGTATGGGCAATGACATGACACTCAATCATGGTGTAGTGAGCTTGTGAAAAGAAAAAACCCAACCCAGTAACCCAAGATAACAGGCAGGTTCATCCCAACCACTGGTCCAGGACATAAAAGTTTACAAGAACACATGACAGTGCAGTGTGTAATAAAACTATTAATATATAAAGCTGTGGTCAGAGTCTGGGTTTGGCAACAATGCCCCCACGATTCTTCCCATGTGTGCTAACATTGCAATTTCTCCATCCTGTGTGCATGGAAATAGTCTATCTTTGTGTGTTTGAGGACTTATTACTCATCCTCATGGAACTCACATTT